AACTAGAAACGAGCATTATTAATAAAAGTAATTTAGTTCAAACTCGAAACTAAAATAATTATTTTTATTAATTACTGAATGGGATATTACAACAAGGACGGCAAAGCTCTCCCTCAAGAGTTTTAACACTGCTGCATTTGAAGGAGTATAACTTTTTCATTTGGTCAAAACATGTAATAAACTAATTCGGAGTCCAAAAGAAGTGTTGTAAATAATTAAATTGTGGAGATTTTTCATATAGTTGATATGACGAATAAAGGCACGACCTTTATGACTTTCTCTATATTTTTTTGTTCCATTTCTCTCTTGTACTTTCATGTTTATTTTTCTTATTAAATTACCCATGTTACAAAAATAATAAATAATTTCCTCAAACCTATTTATAGTAATAATATTCGCGGGGTTGAATAAAAAAATGTTTTAGATATGTTAAATTAATTCTTTTGGAACTCCGAACAAAATTTTATTGACACGCAATATTATGTTTGATTTTTCAAATTGCGAAATTTATGAGCCTTTGGAATTGTTGAAATTACATAGGATTTTTGGGCAAAATTTAATTGGCAAATAATATTTGAGTTTGGATTTAAGATTTTCAAATCCGAATGTAACAATTTATTGAATATTATTTTATTATATATAGAAAAGAAATGCTACAGTCCTGTTACAGAATCGTTCCGTCGAGATTTATAACTGTTAGATCATCTTATAGTCATCATGGATAGTTAATCTAACTGTTACAAATCTCAACAGAATGATTACGTAACAAAATCGTTTTCTATCGTGTATAAAAAAATTATGTAGTACGTACACTGCACACCTACTCACGCTCAAGCCCATTATATGATTCAATTGAGCAATTAAAATCTCAAAATCAAATAATTGGGCATCGGTCAATATCCAATAAAAGCGTTCACGATAGAATTCTTAAATCATATTCTAATTCCTGCAACGTATATCGAGGCTCACAGAATCTCAACTACCAAAAAGTTATGCTTATTGCAATCTCAATAGAATTACAACCAACCTTTAATTACATTTTCTTCAACAAGAGATGTCATGATCCGGTTACGGAACCATTTCTTCAAGGTTTATAATCGTCAGATCAACTATTTCCGACAATTACACGATAATCTAATTAATTGTTACATACCTCAACGGAATAATTCTGTAATAGAATCGTAGCATTTCTCATCTTTAACCGTTACATTTTCTTTACTAATTATTACCATCCATAAAATAAAATTAAAAAAAAAATTGAATTAATTTTTTTTTTGCCGAACTTATAAAAATGATGGTCTTTAACTCCCATCCCCACTACACCCACTATAAATAACCGCCCAACAATATCGTCGTTCCTCCTCTAATAATAATAAATAACATATATATATATATACATCTCTTTTTATTTCATTTCATATCTATTCATTAATTTTGCACAAACCCAGAAAATAAAGAAGAAAATCAATCCAAATAGGTTAGCAATAATAATGGGTAGCCCAAATGTTGAAGGCACTCCTCGAAAATTCTATTACTTCACACAAATATCTCTAAGATTTGTGGCCATTGGTGTTACTCTTGCTGCTGCATGGCTCATGATGTCTAACAATGAGACCGCCGTCGTTTTTGGTATCCAGGTCGATGCGCGTTACACCTACGCTCCGGCTTTCAAGTACGACATCAATTTTATTTTTCTTTTCTTCGTTAAATATTATTATTTGTTTTTATCTATATATTTATTATCTTGCTCTTTTTTTTTCTAATTTTATTAAAATGTATTTTTTAGGTTTCTGGCAATTGCAAATTTGGTGGCTCTGGCCTTCTCGTTGCTGTCTGTGATAGTTACTTTCGTGGTCAGGAAAAGGGCGCTAAAACCGGCACACTTCTACATCTTCTTCATTCATGATTTGGTACGTACATATATTAGCCAAAATAGTAATTATATATAAAAAAAAAGATGAAAATAATTTCCACAATTTAACCATACATAATTATAGTAATAAATGTGTCTTAACTCTTAATCAATTCTTTATTATTATTATTATTATTATTATTATTATTATTATTATTATTATTATTATTATTATTATTATTATTATTATTATTATTATTATTATTATTAT